CCCCCACCCTCTAAACCTCCATAAACCCCCCTAAACCCCAGCCGTGGCAAATTATCCGACCAGCCGTGACCCTCCCCACCCTCTCCCCCCTGGCCCCCATCACCCTCCCACCCCCAGACTGCCGGCAAGCTGCAGCCATTCATTGGCTCTGAAAAGAGACACATGGACATCAAGAGGCTGGCAGAGAACATGCTCGCTCCTAATGAAAAGCAGCACATGTGGCCTGTGGAAGTGGGGCTTCCCTTCACCATTGTTTCACCAAATGCTCCTTTTAATCTCTAAGTGTCGGTTCTGTTAAATACCCTCCACCCACTGCCACCTGCAGCACACGCACACATTACTCACAGATGCATGCAAGCAGACAGTGCCCACCACTTCCCTTCAGCACACCACCACACACAGACACACAAACATCACCTCTATACAGTAAGAGTCTGGGGAGCAGATGGAAGAAGTGGTGTCTGTCCTCCATGTTTGTCATGGTCACAGCCAATCAGCTTTCAGCAGACAGAGCCGTGGGGCTGACAGCCCTTCGACAAACCTGTTTCTGAAATATAAAACTTATTTTTCTTCTTGATTTGACAGGAGCTTCAGAACTGTTACACACAGTTTATAACTCTACTGTTTGCGGAATGTTAGACTACACGCTGTGGCCCACTTTTCCCACCCACATATGACCCATATGTGTTCACTGATGGGCTGCACAAAAAGACTTCTACAAATCAGACCGGGTTTATTGTCATATCTGCTCCTCAACATACAGATGCTGCACGTTTGACGGTTTTCACACTGACCTCAGTCTAAACCAGTAGTCCTCAATCTGTTTCATCAGCGCCCCCTTTTGAAGATAGCACTGTCCTGCGCCACCTCCACACTGACATAAAACTCAGCAGAACTTTAAAAAAAGATGCAAAACTACTATTCTCATTCTCAGATACAATTGTTTTTAAAATATCAAAATTGAACAGTAGCACTGCGCCCCCAGTGGTCTAAAAACTCATTGCTCTTTAATAATTTAAGGGAAAATGACGTGTTTATTTAGTGTATCTTTCTCCAGTGTTCAGCTGCGTTACCTCAGACTTGATCAGATTTTTATTCAACTCCTCAAAGCAAATATTTTTAACCAATCCCAAATGTAAACCTGTTCAAGGGACTGAAGCTCGCCAAAACCGCAAAAACAGTATAAATCCCACAGGATAAAGTGTCCACACAACAATAATATGTCTTTCTTAAATACCGTCCCCACAAGAAAGACCAAGAAGACACACTGTACAGTTTAGTACACACACAGTCTGGTGTTTATGCATCAGGTTTGGTTTTGAACTTTTGATTCTGACTCTTGTTTGCTGTGGGAAAGATGGGAGGGTAAGTGATGACTATGAAAATGTAAACAACCCAGTTACAGGATCAGCAGTTTTCACCTGCCGGGAACACAGACAGTGAATCAAAGAAAAGGGAAAAAAGAAAAAAATTGTGCAAAAATGATTGTGAGGTGAGACATTGTTGGCAGCTCAATTAAAATGTGTGTGTGTGTGTGTGTGTGTGTGTGTGTGTGTGTTGTGTAACTCACCCCTGACAGGATGCCTATGTGGTTTGGGTTCTCAGCACTCTAAACACTCCTGCAGCATGACGTCTGACATCTATAACCTCCCGCTCAATGTCTATGTCATTGTGCTGGGCATCGGCCTCTTCGTCTTCATGCTCAGCCTCATCTTCTGCTGCTACCTGTTCAGGTAGGTCGGGTCAGCTGACCGTGGGGGTCCGCAGGACAGTCGGAGACAAATGTGCAAGAGAAGATGACGTCCATCAGTCATTTTTGACTCACGGTGGATCAAACCAACTTGTCTTTCTGAAACCGTAATAACAATAACATATGATTGCCCTCGACATACCTGGATCTACCTTGTGTTTGGATAACAGATTACAGCGTTTACAACTGGCCTCATTTTAGTGCTTTGGAAAATCTTTTCTGACCAACTTTGGTCAAGAGGCTGCTATTCTGCTGGCTTTTAGCAATTTCAGCTCCATATAACTTCACTTTGTGGTTCTCTGGACTGGATTGCTGCAGTGCAGTGGGTATGAAAATATATGGATTAACAGGACTATGGATTAGTAACTTCCCTGAGTCTTGTTACACTTGTCAGCACGGTGACTGCAGATGTACTGATGTACATCTTTCTCTCTCTCTCTCTCTCTTTCTCTCACACACTCTTAGACTCAAACAACAAGGAACCAGGGAACAGTTCAGCTACAATGAGGTACGTTTCTGTAAAACCTCTCCCTGTGGTAAACAGTCTCTCTCTCTCAGAAGCAGGATATAAATACTGCTGTAGCATTTCACACTGTCAAACCTGAAACCTAGCACTGCTAGGCTAACACACACACACAGAGCCCTGCAGTGAGCAGGTCACACTGTAGTCACACCAGAACACTCCAGTGTTTTTGTTTTTTTTTGCATGAACACAGCAGTTCTGTCGCGATTCTCACGACCAAATACTTCTACTCTAGGTGGTGCTAAAGGGAGCCAGCAAGAAACTGAGCCTTCTAGGAGTAAGTCACGCTTTCGACCCACTGGGACTAGTACTTTTCATTGATGAATTATCTTTATCATAATCAGAATTAATCACAATGAACCCTAATTAATGGACATTTTAACTAATCTTGCTAAAATATGAAGGTTATTATATGATATGGTATACTAGTGCTTTAATGTTATTATTGTTAATGTTGTTTTAATTGTTGCAGCAAACCTGTGCCGTTTGTCTGGAAGAATTCAGGACCAGAGACGAGCTGGGAGTCTGTCCGTGCTCACACGCATTTCACAAGAAGTGAGTGGGTTTTAACTGGAATATTTCGTAGCTGGGTTTGGAGTGTCGAAAACGTGTTGTAATTACACTTATTTGCTGCCAAATGCAAAGTTACCGACTGAAGGTTTAGTTCAGTTTTCACTTTCCTGAAGTGAATAATTCTAATAAGGTGTGTGCTAACTATATATATATACATATATATACACATATATATACATATATACATATATATATATACACACACATATATGACATTTATATGAGGAGCTGTTATAGCCATAAATATACATGATTAAATTGTAATTTATTTCGGAAATAACTTAGGTAGTGAAAAGTACGCTGAAGGATTAGCCCAGGAGTTTAAGAAAGGATTTCTGTCAGTGATTTCTTACTGTGATTCTTGTCGGTGATTTCCTCCCAGGTGCCTTCTGAAGTGGCTGGAGATCCGCAGCGTTTGCCCCATGTGTAACAAACCCATCCTCCGGCTGCACAATGACGCCCCCCAGGGGGCTGAGGGTCCCATGGATCCAGAGGAGGTGTGAGGTACCAGGGATAAGGAGAGGTGGTCACAGACTCCCCCTAGTGAGAAACAAAAACATACACATTAAACACACTAGGGATGATGGACAGAGGTCATCGTTGCAGACATCCCACAGGACATGTGGAAACTGATCCCGAACTGAATCAGCGACTTTGGAATTATAAAGTGACAGCACACGGATGACGGAAGATCGATGGATGATTTTCATTAATCAATGCTCCTGGTTCATATTCCATACGGCACTGTTCACATGACCAAGCAGGAGGACGTGATTGGACGACTCATGCAGCACTGCCAGAGACAAAGAGACACAAAATCACAAACCCCGCTGTGGGCCTGGAGCTGGAGACACAGAACAGGATCAGACTGGTAACCTCTCATATCTCAGGGGTGTCACACACACACACACATACACACACACAGCCAGCACAACCATGCCAGTCATTCTGTGAGTGTAAACCTGCACTACCACACACACACACACACACACACACACACACACACACACACACACACCTGCAGCATCTTCACCACTGCCAACCTAGGTGAGAAGACATCTCACAGTCTGCAGCTGAAAACCCAAGACCAGCGGGTAACACCACCACAACCACACGGACAACGATGTTAACCATGGTAACCGGGGTCCAGATTCCAGAGGGCCGAGGTCGACCTGAAGATTTTGGTTTTATCTCCAGTTCTCTCTTACTGTCCCATTGTCCCAGACTCCATCATTAGAATTCTGAGATTATTTAAATAATTTGAACAAACATTAGCAAATTAGTATGAGGAACAATATCAAATAAAATACACCAAACTGTCAGAATTCTAAGATTCACAATTCATAATCTTATTCTCAAATCTTTGTTAAACAATGACGAAAGAAGAATTGTGTAAAAATTAAGTCTGATTTTTAGGGAGAAAAAAAAGGCACAAACTCCACACGTATTTAAAGTGACAGTGAATTCAATCGTCGGATCGAGTATCAGATATATTTATACATATATTTTAAATAATGTCAGATTCTTTCAGAGATGAGGTCAGAATTCAGAGACTTGACCTCAAGAAATGACCGTGACATTATCTTCATCTTTGACTTTAATGATGACTGAACATTTAAAAAAAAAAAGTCAGACTTTGTTCTCATATTGAGAAATGAGCCAGAATTTTAGAACCAAGGTCAAAATGTGTACCTGCGGCTGAAAATAAATCATACTTTTCTGACCTTTTTTAAATTATAATATTGACCTGAACAACACGGTGCAAAACTTTTAGGCAGGATGAACATTTCTCTCAGAACCAACCCTCTCCCCTGCAGCCAGTATTTTAAATATAAATGGAAAACCAGATTTAATTTTCTTTAAGTTTTTCCGAGTCATTTGTTAATAAAATGTAACAATTCAAATGTGTTTTCAGCCCCAGTTGTGGGACCTGCCCACCCAGCTAAACGTTAGCCTTCCAACGGCTAATGAACCAGTGGACTTCAGGCTAGCTTGAAGTCCATTGTCTGAAGATTTTTCTATTTTAAAAATTAAAGATCTGTGCCTTCTGCAGTTGAATGTCGTGATGAATGATCTACTGCTTTTCTAAGTTCAACTTAAATACTTTAAAAAGAAAAAAAACACTGCAAAGGGGGTGGGGGTGGGACACGGTTGATGTGCACACCTGCCTAGAACTTTTGCACAACGCTCTGAATTCAGGCTTTCGTGTCAGAGATTGGAGCTCTGAAACAAACGCAGTTTGACCCCACCCAGCTCTGCCGTACCTTGTCTCTCACAGACAGATAGAATAGTCTTGCCTGTATGTACTGTATGTATGTAAACGTGTCTCTATATATGATTTTGTATTTGTTGCTTTTGAATAAAATGTCATGTAAATGTCATGTCATTGTGAGGGATTTATTGAAAAAAAAAAAGGTTACAGTCATAAAAAACCCAGACAACCATACGATTTTTTTTCTTTAGCTAATTCTCATTTACATAGAAACATTTGTTCAAGGTAACACACACAGAGCCAGGGCTTGGCATAGGCCATATAGGCAGTGACCTGGGGCGCCATCTGCTGAATGGGCAATGCTGTAACCCCTTAAAGGAAAAAAAAAAAACCTTGGCCATATAGGGGGCGCCAGACCATAATCTAGCCCAGGGCACCAAAATGGCTAGAGCTGGTATGCACACACACACGTGATGTTCTGATGGCATCAGCGCTAACTCTTCCTCGTCTGTGATTCCTGGCCTCAGTTTTCACCCTCGTGACCTTTAGCCTCCACAAACTCCATGGCCTTCTCTTTAACGGCCTGGACGCTCTGCTCGGTGCCGTGCTTCTTTTCGTACTCCAGGTAACGTTTGAAGAAGAACTTGATCTTCTTCACCGACAGGCTCAGGTGGATGACACGATCAAAGAGCGACCTGCGAGAGACAGGAAGACGTCATGACATCAAAGGTTCATCGGTCAGTGAACTGATCACAGACGGTGGTTTTCACCAACGCCCAACCTTCAAGAACGGGTAAGGAACCATACCTTGAGATCCATGCTTGACCATCAGGTCGATGAATACGGACCACAGATCTGTGCGTTTGGGATAGCTGGTAAGAACTTTGTCAAACATGGCACGACCTTTCTCCATGTCACCGTAACGGAACTCTAGCTGAGCAAATTTAGCGATGACGTCAACGCCTGAAAGGAAGCAAGGCAACAAGACGCATTCAAACACCTGTTACTCTTCAAATCTTTTAGATCGATCAAAGCCGAATCTGGATCAGCCATCTTACTTTCTTTGGAGGGTAAACTCGACAGCGCCCTCTCCAGGAGAGTGGTGGCGGCATCGCTGTGGCCCTGCTGCAGCAGGAAGGAGCCGTAGCTGAGCCACACCGCCTTGTTCTGACGGAAACGCTTGACCATGGTCTTATACAAACTGTCCGCCTCCTGGGTACAGACACAGCACAGGAGACAAGAGGCACAGTCAGGAGAAGAGAGAGACAGAAGTAAAAACCTGAAAGCTGAGATGAAGCAGAAGAAAATAAAAAGTGGTCCCTACTTTTATTTTGTCGGACTTGGCGTAGATGTCAGCCAGCTGCTGGTAGACGGGCATGGGCTCACAGAACTGCAGCGCTCGGTCAAACACATTCTTCAGCGTCTCCGCAGTTCCATACATGTTCTCCAGGTTTAACAGAGCCACCCACACGTTCAGCTTCTCCTTGGCTTCTCTGCAGCCACACACACACACACAGTAACTCATTTACACTTTAGTGTTAACTGCCGTGAATGACTTTGTTCGTATCTTTTACTAACAGAACCCAACCAGGGACTGGGGAACTTGAAGGTGACTGTCACACCTGGACGGTTGTGGGTTAGTTTACAAAATAAATAAATACCTCTAAGCTAACCTATAGTAACATCAAAACAACAACAACAACAACAACATCAACCAGCCTGGTCGACACGGTCATGTGTTGAGAGAACGGACCTGAAGGAAATGGTTTTCAGAGCCCTCTCGGCCACAGCTCGGGACTGTTCGATCTGCGTGGCCTGCAGATGATGAGCCATGTACTGCAGCCAAAGCAGAGAACTGTTGGGAGAGGCCAGGATGAGGCGCTCAAAGGAGGCTACGTCTTCTGGGCGAAGGTTCGGATCCATGAGTTGCGCTTCTCGCTGCACCAGTGCCTTCTCTGCTGCTTTTTTCTCCTGCTCCAGCTCATGACGAGTCTTCTTCTGTGGCTGGAGGTGGAGGCAAGATGTTAAAAATCACACATGAGACAGCTAATGTGCAAACAATGAGTTGTTGTTGCTGTCTTTCACGTAATAGCTTAAGTTTAGTACCATGAGTAATTTAATTATTTTAAATTTATTTTAGGATTACAATTATTTACCTTACATCACAATAATTTCCACCTTCCAGGTTTGAATATGTAATTCTGATGTACAGTATTTACATATTCTAAAAAACCTTCTCCACACACAGATGCAGTGACCTCACCTTGCTGCTTCCTTCTTGGTCTTCTCCTTCACTCGAGTCTTCATCCTGAGCTGCATGAGCTGGTTCAAGAGAACTAAGTCCCACGTCCCACGAGAAACCTGATGTCACCTTCAGTCTAGATGGACCTGCAGCGCTGGGTGTTTCCTGCTTTTCAAAAAGAGATTTTTTTTTCCAAAAGTTTCAGTTCAAGGCCAAACAGCACCTTTGAAGTATCAATCTATTCACTTACCTTTGTAGAGTCTTCAGCCTGGTTATCCTCCTCCTGCTCTCTGAAGTAAACCTCAACCCCACTGTCACTGTCTTCAGCCTTAGATTTCTTGGTCTTTTTCTTTGGAACCAGAGACTCATTTTGTTCCTAAAGTATTAGATGAGACAGAAGCAAGCCACAAGAATAAAATAACAACAACAAACAACAACAAAAAAAGAAAACACTACACTAAACTTAATATTGCTTATTTACGACAAGTGTGGAACAGATATGGCATGATCTGATTCTATACCCCCCAGAATGAAACAGGAAGTAGAAATAATACTTTTTCCAGGGTTTTTCCCCAGAGTTGTACACTAACCTGTTACAGAAACCAGAGCTAACGTTAGCTACAACATTTTGTTCTATAACTTACAATGTACATTCACTAATTCCATCCTCCACCAAAAAAAAAAAAATATATATATATATATAATGTGTTTCAAATAAACTGATTTGCTCACTGTGTCAAATGTTGATATTTCTAAAGTTCAACTAATTACAGTCTTTAATTAATCAGGTGTGCCCCCAGTGGAGACGTTAAATGCAGTGTCAGACGAGTGTGTGAAAGCAGGACCACGTTCACCTTAAACGTCTCTGCACCGTGAAATAGCGACCAGTGATTCATGTGATACTTGTTTACGATTTAATGGGCAGAGGGAGAGGCAGTCTGCAGCAGGAAACCAAGGCTGTTTGTTACCTGCTGACTCTCAGATAGTGTGCGTTTCTTCTTCTTCTTCTTCTCCTTCTCAGTGTCGTGTTTCTTCTTTTCCTCTCCAACCAGTCGAAGTGGCAAACCAAGGGATTCTGGGAGGACGTCCGCCTTCCCAGTGTCCTCAGGGAGCAGGGAGAGGTTGACAAACTCCTCCTCTGTGTCAATACTGAGGACGAGAATAGAGAATGCTGCAGACCAACAGTGACACAGTCACAGCGCCGAGTCTAAAAAAAGACTGTAAGGTGAAGCCGAGCGGGATTAAAAATAAAACACGCTGTCAGTGCTACAGAACTATTCTTCCTTTGTGTCCGGATCAAGTTGAGCATTTTTTTTCCTGCATTTGTATTTCACTCTACATGAGAAACAATGAACACAGTTTTACATAACGATGGAAGGCAAACCGTTCTAAGACGTTATTCCCTTTTATCTATAACTATTCGGAGTCTTGTCTTGGAAAAGTCTGGAGACTTTCTGAAGCCTTGTCAGTACTGCAGGTCCAGACCTAGTCTAGAATGTTAAATTTCACATAATTAAGTTTGCAATAGTGGAATTTTCTAAAAACCAGATGTTCATGGCACCGACCAGGAGCAGCCTCTTTTACCTGACGATGTTCGTGGTGAGCAGAGTGTTGGGAGGCAGGTGCTTGGCCAGGACCTTGTCGTCATTCACAAAGTACTTGGTGGACTGCTGTAGCTGAGCTCGTCCTGTTATGTTATGTGACAACCTGGAGGACAAGTACGTGGGGAAAAGTATGACCAAAAGAGCTGACAGATGGGACAGGAAGGACGAGAGTTACCAGGTTGATTTAGTGGGTGAAAGGATGAGTGAAAGTCACCTGATGAAGACGCCCTGTTCACCCACAGACTTGACGTAGCCTCTGATGAGCTGACCAGCCTTCAGGTCATCCAATGACAAAACCTCGGAATCCTTCACTGCCCTGGTCTGCTGAGGGTCCAGTCTGACAGGAGGGGAGTTCAGATCACAAAACACGTTGTCAAATCCACCATTTGTATTCTTATCTACTAATGTGAGACAGACTCTGAGGTACAGCCAGTGTGTGTGTGTCTGTGTGTGTGTGTGTGTGTGTGTTATACCTTGAAGGGCGTAGAGACAAATTCCACTTCCCTTTTTCTTTCTTCAGAAGGAAACACCTGAGGCAAAAGACATGAAAATCAACATTGATGAATGTGTGTGGACAACAGTGACTATCAACTGTCGGCCTGCGGGCCAAATACAGCCCACTGAACTGTGCACTCCAGCCCATGCATTCCAAAATAAACATCAAATAATAATGTTAGACAAAAATGTGACTTTAATTTCATTCAAGTGTCCAAAACAGTCAAATATAGTTGGTGAGCCCTGGTGACCAAGAATGTGTGTGTGTTTGGACTGCCCTGAAAACTGAATTTACGCCAGTGTTTTTCAACCTTCGGGTTGCAACATCATGTGGGGTCGTCTGATGCGTCTAGTAACTGATTATTTTATTATGTGGACATTAGTGATGTTAGTGAGGCGAGTACACACAGTCCCGGCAGTAACAAAAAAGGCTTTGTCAATGGCAGAATGAATTATATTCATTTTAGATTTGATTTTCAATGTAGTAATTTTGTATTACAGTGCATCTGGACCAAAACAGAAATGGACAAGTCTGATTTTGTGTCATTCCATGAGAATGTTAAATTGAGCAACTTAATCCTTAAAAGCTCATGAATAAACCCACCTGATCAGCTGATCCTTGCTGTATCCGTTGAGTGGTTTTGGTTTGTAGGCGTCAGCCAGGTCAGTGACAGCTACAGTCCCCATGTCTCCGAATGGAAGCTTGATCATGAGGCCAACCTGTGGCAGAATGTTGGTCACCATGCCCAAAGTGACCGTGCCTTCCTCCAGTTTATGGACACCTGGAACGAAAACAGCCATTTGATTCAGTTTGATTAGGGAAGAAAAAAACCCCCAACAATTTTAAAGATGTTTGCCAGACCCCCACCTGTCAGTGACAGCACAAAGCGATAAGGTTTGGAGCAAGTTTCCACCACCGTGGCCCGGACGGCTTGGCCCAGTTTGTACAGTCTCTCTGGATGTTTGGCAGACTGAAGATAGAACAAGTCAGTTTAAAAATCACAGCTCAAGAAAAGTTGGACCAATCCTGAGAGCATCGCTTTTTAAACTTTTTCAACAGCTGCCCCCATTTGTAGATTAGGGCCCAGTGGGTCAACACATTCACAACCATTGCCTCGAATCTTCACTGAACTTCATTTAAAACTATTTAAATTCCTCAGAACATTATATTCACACTAAGCAAAGGAAATAAAATTATATATAATTTATATAAAGTTATAATTTTTTTATATTAATTTGGCTTGCAAATTTGTCTTAGAGTAAGAAAATAGAATGTATTTTAATAATCCTTATTGAATGAGATAAATAAATACAATATACATATATACACGCACACATATTTACTGTATTTTCCGGACTATAAGTCACACTTTTTTCCTTTGGCTGGGTTTGAGACTTACTCAGGTCCGACTTGTATATTAAAATATATAACTTTACATTTGTTTGTTATTTTCACATTGACAGCCGCTAGAGGGCACTCTAGGCTCATGTACCAGTATCTGCTACTCCTGTACCACTGAAAATTTCAGTACATATACTGTATATACACATGTAAACATGCATACTGTATACACAAAAAGTAACATTTCTATCTCTCTGTTCCTCAGACAATTTAAGTATATATTATGTATAATTAGAAATGAGCTTTAATAATTAAAAGCAATGTTCCAGTCACTGACACCACACTCACTTTAGGGTCAGTAATCATGGCAAGAAATTCAACAGTTCCGGTCAAACAGGGGTCAGTGGTGACTTCCAAAGACTTCTTCTCAGAATTGAACTAAAAGTGGGTGGAAAAAAAATGTGATTGGATATTGGAAATACATATTCAGTGTAAATTTCAGTCAGTAAAATCATCAAATAAATACCTTTGATACAAAGCATGTGATTTCGTCCCCGACCTTGTAGCTATTCAGTCTCTCCTTTGTTGTAACTCTTTTAAAGTCACTGCCTGCTTTCAACTTACTGCAGAGAAAAGACGAATGAGTAGAAACAGATACTTTTGATCAGACACGTAAGCTTCACTTTTAACATAGATAAAGTAATAATAATAATAATAAAAACAACTTACCTGGATATGAGGGTGAGCTCTGGAATGGTGTAGGTAAATTTCGGATGGGAAAAAGGCAGGAATCTGAGAAAATAAAATAAAATGTGTTCTTAAATTTAAGTCATAAATAAAAGAACCAGAAATGCTGGATTAAAAATCTTCTTTGTGAAGTCACATCTGAAGACAATGCAGCAGTTGTTGCCCACCTGTTATTGGTGGCCTCTCGTCCTCCGATGACCTTGGCAGTGAGTACATCGCCTGCCTTCACCGTCGACGTGGGGAATGTTCCAGAACACACCGTTTCCATCACCTCCGACACGTGCACGTTTCCCGTGCCGCCGTCCTTCAGTGTGACTTGAATGTACGTCGGTTTCACCGTCTTCACAGTGCACTGCACAATGTCTCCAAAGAGGTGACCCTTGGTTCTGGACTGGTTTTCAGAGGTAGTGCGCTCCCTTTTTGGTGCGGTGCTTTTCCACGCAACTAGAGGGAGCCCTTGTAGTTCCTGACAGCTGGATTCTATGACCTCCACGTCCAAAAGCGTTCCCACCTTGAGCTTCTGGCTCTCTGAGGTGAAGACTTCATTCAGGTGTCTGCTGGTCTGGATCACAGTCAGCTGTGCTGTGTCGTCCAGTGAGATCACGGCAAAGTCTTTGTTGATGTGCTGCACCGTCGCTGAATATTTTGATCCTTCATTCAACTGTGTACACACAACACAACAAGCAACTGTTAGGGCCCTTACAGAAGAAAACAGTGAAAAACTTTGTGGTCTGATCTGAAGTCTACATTATTTTACCATGTCTGTAATTTGTGTTCAGCCTTGTTTTTTTTTACATTTGCGATATTTGAAAATCACACACACTACGCCCACAGCCTGCCGGCAGGATCTGGCTCCTCATCTTATCTAACCCACCAAAGGTAAACACAAATATTGGTATCACGAAATAAAAGTCCATGTATAGAGACCACAGTAATTACAGTAATTATAGAGATAATACTTATAATAGAGATAGATAGATAGATAATATAGAATACAAATTCAAGTTCACTTTCACATACAGTATGTTTACAATAACCTACATCTCCCATAATGCACTTCAATGCCTAGCAGTGCAGATGGAGCAGAGAGAGCAGAAGTTAGATATAAATATGTGGGCCTCAGACAAGCTTCACCTCATTAACTCTGCAGGGCTGTACTACAATCAAAGTTTTAAAGTACATCAAACTGAAGTATTTTTTGTTAAATGTTTGGTTTGTTTGGTTTTTCAATGAGGCAGCAGAAAAACAGCAACACTCACCATTTTCTTCTTAGACACCAGTTTGGGCTGGACGGACACATGGACGGTTGTAGCCAGAATGTCCACATGAAGGACGACTGCACTAACCTTTTGTCCCGGGGTCAGGTTCACACCTGAAAGACAACAACGCAACAGAGCTGCCATGAAACTTCAGATGTGTGTGGCTAACAATCTGAGAGATTAACGCTGAGCACCAACAAATTAAAAGAATTTTTTTCCCCAACATTATTATTATTATTCAATCCAGTCACGGACCAGATTGGACAGTGTGGTGGACCGGAGTTGGCCCTCGGGCCGCCTATTGATGATCACCGATGCAGACCAATAGTTATAACTTAACACAATGGCACCAGCATCTTCACCAGAAAAGTTTCAGGTGAAAACAGTAAGTTAACTAAGTTGTAAAAGAAACTTCACAAAGTTGAGATGCTAACAGCGCTAGGCTATCCATTGCTGCTCTCCTAGCTACTGTTTACAGGACACACGCTGCAGCAGTTGTCTTTAATCACTCACCAAAGATGAGTATTTTATCTGATAGGTTTTGGTATACATCAAATTGTTTACATTTTGGGCTGAACCAGACACATGAAGAAGATCGAATCAGAGCATCGGTATGAGTTAGCAGAGCCTGTGATTCCTTGGATTTAGGTTTGGATTGTTACCCACCTGTCATGTGGGTGCTGTTGGCCAATAGGGTGGCACCGATGGAATCGGACTTGAACGTTGCCCCGCTGACATCCACAGTGTCCACAGTCAGCTTCAGCTTCTGACCCACACTCAGGTCCGCCAGCTGCTGCCGAAGTTCACTGTTACCTGACGGAACAGCACGTGACCAGACATTAGCAGCTAGAAAAACGGAACAGAGCCAAAGGGCGGCAGCCAGTGGCCTCATGGGACTGCAGTCATTTATATTGCTGCTTCAAATTTCAAACATCTGTTGGCTGTGTATCTGTAAATGCACTTCATGGTAACAAAAGTACCAGTGCTGTGTAAAAATTGTTATAGAGCAGAGTAAACACAATAGACTGAAGTGATTTGAAAAATTAAATTAAACTCGGGAAAAAAAAAACAATAAAATGTTGACAGAAAAAATAAACGTGTGTGTGTGACATCATTGAGAAAATAAATATTTTGATGCTCTCAGAGACCACATACCTCTCGTGGCCAACATTTCAGCTACAGCTCTTCCCTCCTGGACTCCATTGATGAGTCTGGTCTGGGTGTTGCTCTCTGGAGGAAGAACTTCAGAAATCTTCAGCGTGACCAAGAACCGTCGCTTCTCCTCATCCAGGTTGGTCACTTTGGCAAAGACGGTCTGGCCCAGCTGGAAGGTGACTGAGGTGTCGCTGATGAACTTGTCACTCATGGCCTGGAGCAAAATAACATTGTAGTAACATTTATTAATATCAAAACAACAGAAAACCAAGAGTTTCAGGTCAAATAAAAACACCCCACTCACCGACTTTGGAGCGAGACCAACCAGGCCGTAAGGAAACTCCACGAAAACGCCATAGGACATAATGTTCTTGACCCAGCCAATCAGCTGCATCCCTACTGTGATTTCTGAGAAGTCCTTGGCAACCACTCCCTCCTCCAAGCTCCATGTCACAGTCGGCTTTTTGGTGAGATACTGTAGAAGTGCCTCAGCTGAGGAAAACAGCAGGTCACTGCCTGTTGTACTTCATAAATGTCAGAGTTATTTGTATTTGTTTTCATTCCTCAGAGGTAAAAAAAAAATTACTATAAATGGAAACTATCTGTGAAGTCCCACTTCCTGCTGGGGCTGGTATTAAGACAGGCCCAGTATTCTGAACAACCACATTTAACTTTTCAAACATTATCGGTAAAAAAAAAAAAATCTTTGGGTTGGTTTTTAAACTTTTTTTTCCAAAACAAAAGCCCGTTATTTAACATAATGTTAAAAACAAATCAAAAGCCCGTTATTTAACATAATGTTACATTTTTTTTTTTCAAGCTAAAAGTCGATTATTTAAATCAAAAGTCTGTTTTTTTCAAAACAAGTCTGTGGGGTTATTTAGAGCCAGGATACAATGTGCTGGTGCCTGTTGTTGAAACAGATGAGGTTGGAGACACTGTCCCCTTCCTGCAGACTCTCCCAAAGCAGAGGGCAGTTGGATGGGTGGTCAGAGAGGTGCATGGTGGATAAAATGGCGGTTGACTCATCAGGCAGAATTGCCACCTCCAGTCCGGTGATCAACTTTTTGGTCACCTTGGCCTCCAGCCGCTGTGTTGAACCAACATTTGACGTTACACATTTGTCAAATGGACCTTTGAATACATTTCTTCAAACGTTTGGTTTGAATAATTGATGTTAAAAAAAAAAAATAAAGAAAAAACTCCGAGCAACAAAAAGACCTGTACTTACTTTTCCCACCTCACACTCAACAGGAGGTTTGACATTCGCCTCGGTGACGCCCTCTACTGCAGCTTTGAAGGACAGCATCATCTTCATCTTCTCCGGGTCACACTTTAGAACTTTTGTCTTCAAAACCTGGATGATCATCAACAGAACAAGACAACAAAGTATTTACTACAGTGATTCTCACGCTTGTTATACCATGAACCACCTCAGAAAAACACTTCCAGTACCAGCAGTATTACCAATTTATTTTTAATGAATGGTGAGTTGGTTCCACCTTCACCCTAATCTCACGAATAGTCTAAATCAGATTGTTGAATGTGAACTCTCTGGATTCTCAGCACATGCTGTTGCCTCCTCACCTGACCCACATAGAAGACACTCTCAGGACTGATGACGGGCTGAGAGCTCAGCTCTTTGAGCGGCACCAGGCCTTTGACGTTGTTGTAGAAACGAACGATACAACCAAAATCTTTGATGCACACAATGTAACCGTGGGAGATGCGTCCAGGACGTGCGTCGTCATAGCTGAGGAACAACGGCAGGGAGCTTTCAATCAGCGCCTTCTTTCTGGTCAGGGACAACTTTTTATTCTCGGCGTCTACAGACAACACCTGAGGTGATGAAAACAAAACGCAGAAGAATGAGACAAATCTGAAAATGCTTTCAACAAATGTTGGTAGAAATCGAACTGACCCGACATTTGACTTTCATGCCCTCCATGTACTTCTTTTCTGGGTTTTTGAGGACGATGTCAGAGAGATGGTTTCGAGGAACTAGACCGCTGATGTGGTCAGTGAGATGCACCACCATCCCGTGATTCAACAGGACCGACACCTTACCCTGAAAAAAAAACATGTCAAAGGAAAGAAGCGACATGAAAGACAGTAGAAACAGTCATCTGCAAGGACAGTGTCACGTATATACATACACATACATGTGTGTATATGAAAATAATACACACATGCACAATATATGTCTTACCTCTACAACTTGACCAGCCTTGATGTCATGATATCTGAAAAAAGGTTTTTCAATGATACTCCTGGGAAGAAAAAAAAACAAAAAACAAAATTTAAGTTGTTACGTCTGGCGAACGCTTTTGCTCTCAAATTGGTCTGAGAAAAACATGAAGACACGAACTTACTTGCGCAGACTCACAAAGTGGATCTGGTCCATGAGACTGAAGTCCAGGATCCTGCAGGTGTGCTCAGACATTGCCTGCAATTTGTTCTCGTTGGCTGGTTCATGCAACTCTTTCAGATGGTTCCTCTGCCCATCCCCCCCAAAAATTCATCAGTTTTAATTTGACATATTACATAATTTTAACTGTTTGTAAATTCACGTTTTCCAGGTCTGCTCTCAATGAACTGAAAGTGTGAATTCAGTTGGGAAAACTAGTATTCAAGAGTTTCAGATTTTTGTAATGGCACCTTTGTGTCATTTTTAGCAATTCTGCTAATACAGCTAACCTAAATCACTTAAATTGAACTGCTGTGTTTCTAGGCAAGTCTACTCTATCCTGGCCTCTTTGATCTAGGTTCAATGTTTGTAGTCAAAATCTATACAAGTCTAGTTAATTCTACTCTACATTTGGCTATTCAATTCCAGAATAATCTAGTCTATTTTAACCAGTCTAGTCTATTCCAATCTAATATAGTCCTTTCTAATCTAGTACCTTTTATTATAGTCTATTCTGTTCTAGTCAAGAACCTAGTCACTGTAGTCATACTACAGTGCAAACATCCGTTCACGTATTTGGACCATGGAAATCGCACCAACTCACATGCACAAACGCAGGGATTTTGCCCGGCAGTTCCAGCAGCGCTCCAGACATGTGGTGCATGGCGATCATCTTACAGTCCTTCACCACCTCACCAATGCGTTCACCACCAGCAGGCACTGGTGCCACCTTCTGCTCGGGCTGAAGGAGGTAGCTTCGCAGACTCAAACCAACCAGACGTGTGAGTGGCTCCAGGTAGAGAACACAAGCTCGCACCTGATTGGAAGATTTTCTTATTTGTAAATGTGACAAATTGAATTATATATATATATAAAAGCATATACAGTATTCACACACACACACATTATATATTAAAAACAATTAGACTCAATATCAAAGGAAGAGGCTCCGACAGCCGACTTGTTTTACCTCTGTTCCCTCCTTGTAGCTTTCCATCTGGCTGGGTTCTAGGTGAAGGAAGTCCACTTGGCCGGTGAAGGAAGACAGAAAATCCAGGATCAGTCCATGTTTCGTCACCTGCAACATCATAGAAACTCATTGACTTAACCAGAAAGTGTGAGCTTATTTAACAACATAATGTGTAAACATCCTGTGAACCTTTTTGATGGAAGCTTTGACCAGAAGACCAGGCAGCAGGTTAGTGAGGTTCCAGCCCTGACTGGATTCAACACAGCTTTTGGCCACAGAGGGAGGTGCAGAAAGTTTGACCACTCGCCCTTCGTTCTTCACTTCTTCCACTTTGCAAAGCAGATACTGACCCACTTTGAGGTCTGCAGTTAAAGGCAAAAAAGATGTGAATTGTCGCATGTTTTTACATCTTAATGAACTGCTTCAGTGATGAAGAAAAAAACCCATCATACCTTCCAAACTGCTGTATTTCTCTTTTATTTCTTTCATGGACAGAAAGGCTTTAGATTCACTGATACCAATGTCAACAATGCAGCCGTGATCCTCCACACTCTCCACACATCCACTCAAGACCTACAACAACAACAAAAAAAAGAAAAATAATTAAATACACAGTTGTGTATGTAACTTTTACTGGGGCTGTCAAACAACTAAACTGTTTATTACAGTTCAGCAGAGGATAAATCATGATTAATCAAGATAATTTTATTATTTACTTACCATGCCAGCTTTCAGAGATTTGGAGCCGAGAGCTTTGTTGACCAGTTTTGGATTAATTGACAGCTGAATGCTGATAGTTCCACCTTTGGCTGTGTCCAGCTTAGCGATCACACATCTCAGCACCATACCAGGGTGGAAGAGGTGAGGCAAAGAAAAGATCTCCTGTGATGTGAAAGAACCAGATATTAAAAACAACAACAAACAGAGAACCCCATCAGTCAGAGTATATTCACGTCACCCACCTCTGTGTCTTCTGAATCCAGCTGTTCACTCAGCAGCTTGGTGTACGAGTCACTGATGTTCTTGATGCTGAGGAAGCCTTGAAGACTACAGGGCAGACTGATGCTCACCTCAAAGTCTGACACCTCTTTCACACAGCCTAGCATCAGCATTCCCTCCTTCAAATTCTGAGAATAAAAAGGTAAAAAAACAAATGTCTTAGGTAATGGATTTGGTACTGCAGAGTTAACAAGATACACACATGCACACAGTTATTACCTTAATGTGCAGAATTTCTACACACTTGGCCTCAGCATTGAGTGTCAAAGGTTCATTTCCATTCTCCATCTTCTGTTTCTTGGTTTTCTTGACACCATCTTTGACCAATCCCTTTCTTTTCTTTGTTCCCGTCTCTTCATTTGACTGCAATAAAATAATGTTAACTGCAGCAGTATTTGAAGTAAAGTTCTTAGAGATAAATTCCCAGATATGTATTGATAAATAGTTCACATGTTATTTTTAAACAAGCATTTTTTTTTGCGCACACAATTTTATTTATTTTGTTTCTTTTATCAAAAACATTTACCTTTTGGAATTGAGTGTTCTTCACTATTTTCCAAAAAACTATTATACTACTCGAAAAACTACTATATTATAAAAGTGTGATGTCATGTACCTGGAACAGGTTGTCGACTGGGGTCCGTTGTACTTTTATTTTGCTCTCAGAGCTCTTCTTTACTGATCCTCCTCTGGGGAAGTCCTCCTCCATTGATGCCATGTTTGATACTGTATTAAGACTAAAAAGTACAATAGCGGATTCAAGAAGGCAGAACAAGCATAATTAATTAGGACGAGCCAATATGTCATTTTTAACGTTACTATTAATTTGCCTTTGTTTGAGAGTAATACCGCTTTACACGTCACGGGTGAAAACATGCACGAGAAACGCGTGAGCCATCAGTCACATACTACAAAATGTTAGTAGTGCTAATTGAGAAACAACTAAACGACATGTACTAGGAATAAATCACTGAAACATTAAAATAAGAAATCGCTCTTATTTATATTTTCAAAGTTTTTTCTCTTACATTAAATGTTCGAGAGTTGAGCCCAATTCACATGTTGTTCAGCAGCACGCCATGGCGAAGACCCGGAAAGAAAACTCTCGTAGGCGGTTTCCTTAGTATCCAATCACAGCCCAGGATTGTTGCTGACATAACTTTTAACCAATCTAGAACTGCTGTAGATCAAGAATCCGATTGACCTTTAATTTACCCAATAGAAAGACATAATATTATCACTGTGAAAGGAGGGACTTCCGCTAAGTAAGCATTGCGGCCTCTCCTGAAGGGCACCTGTGTCTCATTCTGTTTTCTCGGAGGTCGCGTGTTTAAGGTAGGGAGGAATTGCTTAAGAAGCCATATAGTAAGTTTTTTTCCCCTCGAAAATAAACATTAAAGTTTCACGTTTTTTATGCCAACTGTATTTCGCCAAAACACAATTAGATTTTGTGCTAACTGCTTAAGTTGGCTTGCGGGCTAGCTTAGCGCAGTACATTTTACTTGCCCTATGAGAATGCTAGCCAATTTGCTATTCATTAGTATGCGGAAAGTAATTTTAAATGATGTGACTTGAATAAGTGAGGTTGTCAGTGACAGTGTTTTTGTAATTAGGTTGTTTATGTTTTTCAGTTAACGATATGCTAGTAGTTTATTACGTATAAAGCATGCTAGGGTTCTAAAATGTCATGCTAAACCTAGAACTGCAAGTGAGAAGCGCTTTCATTTAAGCAACCTCTATATTTTATATTGTATATATAGTATTTATATATGGTTTATATTTTTAGTCGTAGAAATGTTTTCAATTCGTTTAGAAATCTCCCTGTTTATCCACGTATAGTTGTTGTGGGTGTGAAAAACAGGAAATATACCAAGGTCATTTTTGGCTTCTGTGGTGCTAAATGTATATTATATGATTATGAGTATATGTGTCTGATGTAGTTTTGGCATATGATCAATGTTCTTTGTAAAAAGCTTCCACGTATTTGATAGTCTGCCATTGTTATACGTTTTGTGCAGCTAAGGGAACAACATTCCCTTTAGTCTCACAGCCATAGATGTTTACCAGTTTAGAAGTATTCTGTGGATTGACAGTGTGTTTCAAAACTTTGTGTTGAACTGAAGAAGCCTCTTAGATGAGAGGTGAAACATCTTCTTTTAAAAAATTCACGTCCAGTTGCCTAACAGAACTTTTCAACCAACACAATTACTTTTACAGCATTTGATTGTTGTATTTTAATTCCTCTTGGGCTTCCAGTTCTGGAACCTAACTTGATATTAAAAATCTCCACATCTTCTCTTTGCGGGAAGCATTCCTTTTGCCTCTACTTTTTTTTTTTCCAAAGATGTTATGTTCTCAATAAAGTACATATTGTTCTCAACAAACCACATCTTCTCTTTGCGGGAAGCATTCTTTTTGCCTCTACTTTTTTTTTTCCAAAGATGTTGTGTTTTTTCTGTACATATTGTTCTCAATAAACATTGTCCTGAAGGTGTCAGAAATAACAGTTTTGTTATATAGTCTGAGGAGCCTAGTGTTAGGGTTTCCTTTTATCGGTGACTTAAAGCTGAAAAAAAAAATCTGTCTGTGGGTCATTACCTATCGGTGACTTAAAGCTGAAAAAAAAATGCCTGTGGGTCATTACATGTCATTATATGTGTTTGGCTCCCTGTAGTGTTATTCCTCTGTTCTTCTCATTATTGTAGGACCATTTTTCCAACATGGGTGGACACGACTCTGGTACCCAACACCAGTTCACTGGATTTGCCAAGTACTTCAATTCATACACATTAATAGGAAGGAGGAATGTAAGTTCTGAATACTTCTGTCATCAGCGTGACCTGTGATCGCATTCTGCTGAATTGCTCATCATGCTTTCGTTCTCTTCAGTGTGTTTTTGCCACGTACGCCACCTTGATTGGCATCGGCCTTTTCTTTAAATTTAGGCCAAAGAAACAGGCTGCTGTCAAAGCAGAATAATGTAAGTTCAAAGACATGACTCTGAATATAAATGTCATTCATCTCTTTAAACCAAAAGTTAAATATTTCTGTCTTTCTCCAGGTTTCTATTTCAACCCATCAGTTCTAGGTGGAGGGAGCAGCTTGATGTGCTTGTAATAAAATATTCCTGTTTGTTGTCACTCTGTTAATAAAGAAGACATGTGTCTAAAACGTAGAAAAACACTTTGTTTTATTTACAGTTCACACCAATATAAAAGACTATGATACAGAAATATTTGCCCCGTGTTGAGTGGCATTGTTGTCATGGCCGTGTGTTTTATTCTTAATAAATGGTCATCAGTCAACAATGGCACATCTGGTGGCAAGGAGTATCAATAAAAGACTGTTTCATCAATCTCACTGACTCCGTGCCAATACAACAGAAGGTCACCTGTCTGTCAGGTAAGAGCTGTCTAGCTGTTCACTGGATGTAGACTGGTTCACAGTTCATACAGAAATCTGTCCTCCCACTGTTTTATGTCCTACGGGTTGTAGGCCCCAGCAGCCAGCAGCAGATTCCTCCTGGTGAAGTGGAGGTGAACCACAGGTGTTGACTTGGTCATGTATGTGCCCAGCAGGAGCTCCGGGGAGTTGTCCTGTAGATGAATGTGTCCTGTGGCTGCTGTGAAGTCATCAGTCTCTAAATCATCAAAAGCTTTCATGGAGTCCCACAGACGGACTGTGTTGTCCATTGAACCTAGAGGACAAACAGAACAATGACAGTGTTCATGTTTATCAAGGAGGAAAAGACTTTTGGCTAAGATGAGGATTAAATTCAGGGCTTATTGGGTGTTCACACCAAAAGCGATAGGTGTGAATTGAGCTGCAGTTCCACAAACTGTGCAAATAGCTGAACAACAAGTGATTTAACATCAGGTGGTGCAGTTGGAGCTACTGATGCAGCAAAAGTGAAAAAAGCATCTAGAACACTCACCTGAGGCAAGGATCTCACCATCCCTGCTGCACTTCAGAGCGTAGATGGTATCTGTGTGGCCTTTGAGCTCTCCGATCATCAGTCCATGTCCGATGTCCCACAGAAGGACTCGTCCATCTGTGGCCCCAGAGGCCAGGAACTTCCCATTGGGAGAGAAGGCCAGTGCATGGATCGGGCCCTGGTAGATTGAGAGGATTCAGGATTTATCTCTGCTGTTCCAGCTTATTACCATCATATTTTAATGAAAAATGATTCATTCACTTCCAATGGCATAGTAACTTCACTGACCTTATGACCAGTGAAAATCCGTACGCAGTTTCCATTCAGGACGTCCCAAAGGCGGATGGTTCGGTCAGATGACCCTGTCGCTACGTAATTAGAGTTGGGGTGAAAGTGGGTGCAGGTGACGTCGGCCAGGTGGCCAGAGAAGATCCTGAGGGGCTGGTAGTGATCTGTCGCCCACAGACTGTTGGAGATTAAAAAACAAATCAAGAGAGATGTGTGAAGTGTTCCGCTGCATTACTTCCTGTTACTCAAGTATCAGATGCAGTTTTTTACCGTGCCACTCTGTCATGTCCTCCTGAGACAAAGTAGTACCCATGTGGAGAAAAGTGTGTGTCCCACACTGGGTAATTGTGACCCTTGTAGCCCACAAGACACGTGAACGTGAGGAGACTCCACAGTCTGGCGGTACCGTCTTCAGAACTCGACAAAAGGTAGTTCCTGAAAGGTTAACAGGTCAGTTATGTTTACTAGGCTGGCACCATCCATTAATGCTTCACTTCACTGACTCCATCTGTTGGTGCAGGAGGGCAGTTTTACCTGTCGGGACTGAAACTGATGCTGTACACTGGACCACTGTGTCCATACAGGACCTTTGACTCGCTGGCCGTCTTCTCGTCCATGATCCTCTCCAACACATCATCAGACTCTTTGTCAATTAGATTCAAGTCTTGAGGGAGAATAAATCACAGTATGAAACTTTTACTTGTTTGGACAGACAAAGACACTATATATATATATTCATTCACTGTATATATATATATATAGAGAGAGAGAGAGAGAGAAAAGTGAGAAAAGTGTATATATATATAAAAACATATGGTGATATATTCTCTACCTGCTGCAGACTTGACCTTGCAGAGCTTCTTTGGTGTGATGCTCCAAACCCTCACCGTGGAGTCAGCGAAGCCTCCTGCCAGCAAACTGGAGTCATCTGTGAAGTCGACTGCAGTCAAACCCTGCAGCAGATACAGAGACAAAAATCAATTAAAAGAATGACTCTGTGCTAGTGTCTTTAATTTAAAGTTGGCTTCGGGTCTGTCCTCCCGGCTAACGAGGTTCTGTCATCACCTGGTACGCGTTGAGAAAAGTGTAGAAACAGACAGAAGGGAGGTTATCCGGTCCCAGACGGATCCTTTTGGTGGCTTCCTTCATGTACATGATCTTATCCAGTTTGTCTGAATCTTTTAACTCAGGCAAAGGTATCCTAAGCCAAGTCAAATGAAGCACAAAAACAAGGTCAGGCACAGATTATTGGATTGCAAAAACTTATAAAAACATATTATTGGATTGCAAAAACTTATAAAAACATTGTACATTAAACAGTGTATTTTTGCATGATTTTCTACATGGGGCAGTGGTGGCCTGGTGTCCAGAAGGCCATAGGTTCGAATCCACCAGTCCCTGGGTACTCAGCTCACCTATTTTGTGAAGGTGCGTTTGGATCCTGCTTCTTGCTCTTTGAACCCATACTGTCCTTTTTCGGTTTCTTTTTTTTGGGTTTGCCTTCCTCATTTTCTGCCTCATCATCCTCGTCGTCAAGAGGCAGCTCGATTTCTGGTTCCTTAAGTAATCCGTAGTAAACCTGCAGCAATTCCAGTTCCACCAAACAGCAGGTTGTCAATCAAAAAAGCTGGAACAAAGAACAACAATATTGGACGTATATGTGTCGTCTTTTGAAACCGACCTTGGTCTTATTGGCTTCTCTCTTGGCCTCTCCAGCCAAGCTGCCGGACATGGCGTCAATCTGACTCTTGCTGCGTGGCATCCCATCAAAGATGTCAATGAACAGATGCTCCTGGATGATGTTCCAGATCTGGTTGTTTTGCCGCTCCTGCAGGTGTCGCTTCAGCAGCTGGTAGGAGTCGCGGGAGATTCGCAGGACAAACTTGCTGGTGCGGAAGTCGAGGAGAGTTTCGTTGCCCCTCATGTGCTCCTTCTTCGTCAGGCTGGACAAAACACGCAGGTCATCTTGATAGTAGCACTCCTGGTCCCCATTAAACCTGAGGTAGTGGACAAAACACAGACTTCAGATGTTTGACACACTCATACAAGAAGAATCTAACCAGACTGGCTCCAACTTGTTTATAAAAACATAAAAGAAAATTAACTCACTTTTCAAAGAAAGCCTTGGCCTCACTTTCATGGTTGTTGTACACCAGCTCCAGGTACATGTGTACAAACAGTGGGTAAAAGAGCTGCGACAACTCTGCTCTGTGACAGTCCAAAACCGATTCTATGAACTTCTTCAGGCCACTGTAGTAGGTCTCATACAGAGCTGGATCTCCCTGCTGACTATAAGCTGAGAGAACCACGCTGACATCAGGCTGGTCCCCCCCACTCAGAGCTAGAAAAAAAACAAAACAAGAACAAGTCAAAAACCTAGCTATAAGGTTTCTTTGGTTACAGTTAAACTTAAATTGATGCTAGGGCTACTTAGCATCTACATGCCGACTTGGTCCAAGCACATTTCAGGGGTTAGGGTTAGACCACATGGACCTTTATAGCACTTACTGTGTCGACACGTGGCAATGCAATCTTTTTGCAATATTGTTATAAAGCGCTGGTCTGTAGGCCTGGGATCCTCTGGGACCACGTGACTCTGACGTCTCAGTATCAGCAGATTCCCGAGAGAGACATTTATAGTAACTGGCCAAACCTTAAACATCATTGCCGACTTTGGAAACATTATTTCTAAAACACGAGATTGAAATGATATTACGTTTTTAAAATTATGCTAAAGTTTAATAGAGACCTCTCACTCCTTTGATGCTATTATTGGTTCTTCCTGGAACCAATAAGGAGACAAAGAACAAAGACAACTCAATGCCTTTGATATGAACATTGTACAGCTCTAATATCCTTGGAAGACCACAGTCGTTTCTTGTACACTAAATGTGGGAACACATATATCATTTTTGTTTCAAAAATGTATTCACACACATTCCAAGAGGCGCTCATGTGATCTGGTTACATTTGAGGACCAGGGCTGTGGACCAGGGCTTGGATTTATTATACTTATAGACAGGTGGATATCGGTGGTACTTTGGCGACCTCTAATGGCACAAGACGAACTTTGATTCCTTTAGGATTTGGTGAGTTTTTAAATGCAGCATTATTCTGTGCGTGTGTTTTCAGGATGTAATTTAAGTACCGATTGTATTTCTACAGCGATTATTTATCTGGTCAAACATCTAACAATCCTATCTGAAATCATTGTTCATCTTCATATACTGGTCTGATGTGAACAGTCTAGATCTGCGATGTTGTTCTTTTAATGTTGTTCATTCTAGTGGTACTGGGAGAGACAGGTATCTGCTTGAGGTTGTACTTGGTGTAAAGGTTTGAGAATCACAGCTCAAGACAACAGAGAACTAAGATCCTCACTAATTCTTAATAGTGTACCTAACATGCTATTTCACTGATTTTGGTCGTTTGTGTGTTACATTTGTGCCATAGCGGTGCGGTATTAGTAGGCGTATTTTCACAGACGTATTTGTTTTTAAAAAAAGTATTTTTTACGTTCCACGCAAACCTTTTTTGGGGGATGGGGCTGCAGTGGAGGATGAGATAGTCACCCGACTGAGCAGAGAGCTCGAGTCACCGGCTTCTGTGTCCGCACTGCCCGCAGCACCTCCGGAGCCTGTCCCTGAGGAGTCGCCGCTTTTAGTATCCAGCAAATCTTCTGGTAATCCCGCTTCACGACGCAACACTTCGACCGAATCAGACAGTTTGTTTTTGCGTAGGAATTGCAAAACTGCCAGAAGGGTCTGCTGGTCCTCTGTGTCTCCCGCCGCCACCGGCGCCGTCGTCTTGCTGTTGCTTCCTGTCGATGCATTGGAGCCTGGGGAAGCAGAGAGAAGTCTACCATCGTTTGTGTTATTGTTGTTAGCCCAACCGTCAGTCGATTGTTCCGATTTTATGTCTTTTTCCGCGCCTGCATCGACCAGACCACCTTGTACGGCCGCCATTTTCAAAATGAAGTGCGCATGCGCGAAATTGAAAGAAGGCGATAACAATGACCCTGAAAGATCGGATCATATGATTGGTGCTTACTGGTCGAACGTCTCCCGGAACTGAGCGTAGTGCAGCGTCCACTCTACAGCAGGAGTGTCAAACTCAAATTCACAGTGGGCCAAACTTAATATTTATTGAAAAATTGATGTCAATTGTTTTCCCTTCCCTCTACATATGTAATGTAGATTTTTTTTCATATGGAAACAACCTTTAGTTTTGTGTAAACATTGAATCTGGAACAACCAACACATCAGAAATAAAAATTGGAAATAAACCCCACATCAGTAGATATTTGTTTCTTATCTGTATCCTTTTGAGTTAATATAAATCTTGTTTACAGGCCAACAACAAAACAAACAACAACAACAACAACAAAATATATGTGCTACATCGCTAATACTACAAATCCTGCCAGTATATAGGGTCTTTATACTGGCAGGCCAACTCTAGTACACATTTGATATGATCTTGTGGATCAAATATAATCACACTTCGGGCCAGATTTGGCCCCCGGGCCTGAGTTTGACAAGTTTGGTTTAGAGGAAGACAGAGGCAAGAACTCTGTGCTGTCCTTATGTGGGTCCCATAAGTTTTGAACTCAGAGTTTACATCTCCGTGTGAACGGAGCAGCGTCAGACGCTACGGTCAGCCCTGTCCCTCTGTAACGCTGCTCAACACCAAAGTCGTATTCAGCATCCGTGTAAACGCTCTGTATCCAGAGGCTGTAGCTGTGTTGTATCTCAGCCTAACGTTGAGGTATCTCTGCGCCCTGGGTTAATTAGCTGAATATTATACTTAGTAGTTAGCTGAAGGTTGATCAAATTTTGGGTAAAAAAGCTTTAGCCCAAGCGTAGACCTCAAACATTAGCTAGTGAGTAGACAAATAAGCACAAGACACAAACAAAACAAGTAAACAAAAAGGACCTTTGTATCGGTGATATGTTTCATCTTGTAACAGAGAATGTAGGTACTGCGCATGGGTACTTCTCTAGGGGCTGTGTACTGTAGTCACAGTCAGGTGTTCAAATGTGGCCCAGTGTGCACTCTCTGGGTCAGACACTCATACAGTATGTGGTCTGTTGTGACGGTCTGTCAGTAGAAAAAAATGTAGTCTTTTCCAAAATGACAAAAGTCCCATTTTAAATTCAGAGGTTCTCTGCCGGGCAGCCAGATCTGTATTTTCTCAAGCCTCCTGCGGTGTAAACACACAACGTGGCCTCAGGCTTCTTGGTGCATCTTTTTGTGGACCTGCACAGAGGTCCACAGCAGGGCGGGGAACAAAAGAGAGGTTGACAGCAGAGGCAGCAGAGGCAGCAGGGCGTTGTATAACATTGCGGCTAAAGCCCATAAAGCTGTGTGCGTGTGGAGGAAAGACGGGGGTTGGGTGAGGCCGGTGGTGGATGTGCGAGGTAGACACTTGAGCTCAGGGCGTGGTCATCTGTGGAGTTGTTAATTAGGGAGGAAAGACGGCACATTGATACTGAGGCACAGCGTGCCGAATACAGTACCGAGAGCTGCAGTATTACTGCACGACAACTGCTGGTTTACCTTCATTTTGACCTGTTCGATATTCAGATGGCTGACTCAGCAAAGAGGTTTACTGACGTGCACTTTTTGTTGTGATTGCAGTTTGACTGTGGCATCTTGTCAGCATCACCACCATGACAGTGATGTCATTGTCATTTACTGCATAGCCTCACAGAGAAAAAAAAACATTTGGTTGTACGAATGTTTATCTTTATCTTTTATATTTTTTTTAAGGTTATTGCATTGCGTTGCTGTCGTAGCCTGTGATATAACCAGGTTAGACGTTGCCATTAACAAGCAGTTAAACCAGGCTATCTAATGAAGTGGTCAGTAAGTTATGGCTCATTGTCAGGTTCATTTCTCTCCAGGTTTGGCCAGTTTTTGGTGGTTGTTTATTGCTGTTTTGGGCCTAATACTTTTTGTCGTCAGAGAGATGAACCACACAACTGCTGTCCTAATTTTCTGCATATTCTCTATATTTAACTCTCAGGTACTTCTCCTCTGGCTTGTTGGAGTAATGAGTATCTGTCTATCCATGCTGGGGTGCTCAGCTGTCAGTCAGCCACAATGTGGTGGTTTAAAGAATGTGAAGCTCTCTTCCACATTGAAAAGATTTTTCATTTGAATTGGCAGTTTCAGAAATTTCCAGTTCTACAGTGGTGGCTTCAAAAAAATTCATCGGCTGAGATGCACAGGTAAATAATTCATGAGATGTGACTAAGAAGAGGTGAACAATGCCCGGGGAGGAGGGAAGAGAGAGGGAGTGTGTGAAAAAACAGGGAGGTGGAGGCAGGGGAGGCAGCATGCTGGGACAGGGAGATAGATGGGTGTGGCCACACATGGGAATCAGCATGAAGGAGTAAAACAGTATGGATGATGGAAACAGAGGTAAGAGTCTGAATGTAAGGACTGACTGTAAGGTGAGAGGTAGGTGCACACGGAGGTGTCGAGCCTGTAAATGACTGTGAACCGGCACAGACGAGGAGATGACAGTAGAAGTGAGACCTTGCAGTGATGTAAGAGGTGAGCGAGACAGAAGGGATGGGGTCTTCTGCTGCAGTAGCTATTAGCAACGGAGAAAAATCACATCCTGGTCCTGTTTAATCACACACGGTGGTGAAGCAATAAAAAGAAGCAGCACAGCTGCTGATAGGAAGACTGCCTCTGAGATCACCTCTGATGACGGTCTCCCCACAGTCGCTGCTGCACCGACTCCTATTCACACACAGGCACACGCAACCATAAAGATTTAAGATTTAATTTACATTAACGACACCCGCAACTGGGCTATAAACATTATGTCCCCTGCTGCAACCCCCGCCCAACAGAAAAGGGTGTGCGTGCATGGATGCATGGTGGAGTTTTGTCTTCATCCAAGTGGAATAATGGCTGTGAAGGCACCAAAGTGTTTTCCTACCAGAAAAGGAAATGTGGGGAGCCTGCATTATTCAATGCTGATCCAACTGGAGAGATGGATTGTGTTCTAAAAGCTGCACAGAGGGTCGGAGGGAGCAGCAGAGACGTTCATACATGAACTAGAAAGAAACTACATAGGAAAAGCTGTCACCAATGCAGGGTGAGGCTGTGGGAAAAAACACAAAGAGTTCTTCACCGGTGTCACTTGTCATTAATCGCTTCGCTTTAGCTTGACACAATTGTGGTTTAGGGGGATATTTATGCAGATGGCTGTGTTTGAACACTGGATGTTGTTGATGGTAGCAGAGATATGGCGAACATCATACGTCAAGTTGTCAGTAAGACAAGACTTAGTCCTAGATTAGCCAATAGCATGGTTTTATATTTTGTGAACTGAATCTATCTATCTATCTATCTATCTATCTATCTATCTACCATCCATCCATCCATCCATCCATCTATCCATCCATCCATCCATCCATCCATAATGCTTCTTGTTCTTTTCTTAAAGAGTCATATTTGAGTTGATGCAAAGTCTGTGTAACAGTCACGTTGAAAATTAAATACTTTACATTTTCACAGAAATTGTCCCCTTAATTGGTTCAGTTTGTCTATCCTCAGGTTGTGTTCACCAAAAACCTCCTTGGATCTCTTCTTTTTTTTTCCTCAGTCGAGACTGTGCAGCACGCTGGCCTCCAGAAATCCCAGAGCTGCAAAATAGGAATGACTAAGCAACATCACCACGACACAGAGCCACTCCTGGTCGAACACAGTGTTGGTGGTAGGTGTAGCTCTTTAGTCACATTTGGAGACTAATCACCTCGTTGTCATTCTTGTAAGTGTAGCCGGATGTGTGTGCGTTTTGTCACGGGGCGAAATTACCTCATCATCTGCATAAATATGAACGTCGGGTACCAAAAATGAATTAGCAAGCCTAATTATGATTACTCCACAAACTGTTGTTTCATATCAAGGAGATGTTTCTCTCCCAGCACCGACTCCCCATCCCTGCTGCTCCTCCTCTGCTTCCTCCCACGTACTTTCTGTCAGAGGAGATCTAAGCAGGCACATAAGCACCCCCCCACCCCCACCCTGACACACACTCCTCCCCTTCTCTCCTCACAGCTGCTCCCTTAACAACACACACCCCAGTGTTTATTCTATTTTTATTATTATAAATAATGCAGGCTCCATGCTAACTCATAATGTAACAGAGCAGAACGACGTGACTTTAACAAACTCCAGCCGAGGAGCCAGGGCAGTCTATTGAAGCATTTGGATTCACACACTCAAAGCCCAGGCGGTGTCTCTGTACGACCATGTCATTGGTATTATTGCTGTTTTTTAATCTTGGCTTGGTTGTTGTGGAACCACACGGTGTTTCTACACAAACAAGCTCTTGTGTTAGTGAGTAGGTGCTGCATGACTTTCCTTTGTTCCCGACAGTTGGGCAATACAAACGTCTCAACGTAGAAAACAACATTTACGATATGTTAGTCTGTCTGCTTAGAGACACACACACACCGTCAAATGCTGTGAGGTTAACATAAAGGACTGGCCTCCAATTTGCTAAAGGTCAGAGTCTCAGTGCTTAGAGCCTGTCTTGAGAAAAATCCTAAATCAATAATTATAATTTGTACCCACTGGCAGCAAAGACACCCATTTAAAATGTTTTATCTAGTGCAACATTTCCTCAAATGATGGGTGGTGTAGGAGCCACTTGTTTTTTTGACTAATGTAGTGTCCTTATCAATGAAGTCTTAACTGAAGCTCTATCTTTACTAAAAAACTCCACAGGAAACCTGCCCGTCGGATAAGCTGTTTACTACAAAAAAAGAAACGATAATTGTACAAACGGTTATAAAAATACAAAAATAAAAAGGGAGAAAAAAAATAGAAAAAACTTTGTAGCTCCTCTCCATGTTTGCCTGACTGTTTGTGCAGACGACCACATCCACATCCACATTTTCAAATTAAAAGTAATTAAACCATTCATTCTCAAGCCACAACACACTCCAAAATATTATAAAGGCATACATATAGCCTGTAAATATTATACATTTTCCACACATTTAAATATAATAAACCAAACAAATTTCCACATAACTTATTGTCCAAATATTAATGAACCAAAATTGCATTTAGGCCCCCTACAGGTTGGGACGTGGAGTGGGCTACTAATCCAAATAAACCAAAATTGCATTTAGGCCCCCTACAGTGGAGTGGGCTACTATTCCAAATAATTTAAAAAAAAAAGATTGTACACCTGTATACGCCTTTAATTTAAA